GTAATAATAAGACCATTGTGTTCAGGGTCATATATCAAAATAGCAAATGTTGCTCTATAACTGCTCATACCAGGGCCAAAAACTATGTTTTAAAATGCCAATTACGCAAGTAAGATATATTTAAAACAAGAAGACCGCCATTATTAAGAAATGAGAGTTCACAAATGATAGGACCTTTCTGTTTTTCGAACTTAATTCTGAGACTTTCGAGTATTACCGCAAGTCTAATGTTATTTGTTTGCTCCATGACATTCTTACAAGTATACTGAATACGCACTACCTGTTGATGTGACATACTTGGTGTGGCAGTCACAAGTTGATGAGAAATGGGTCGGAAGTCAAGCCAGGGTTGGAGGGAGGATGTACTTAGTGCTCTTAAGGCAGAGGAGTCGTCGGCATGGAGAAATAAAAAATTGTCTATGTTAAGTTCTTATCATTTTGCAACAACTAATTCTTCTGTTCCATTTAATTAGGAAAATAAAATAAAAAAATAATATCCACATATTCAATAGATTATCTCAACAATTCGTTTTTTGCCATGTCAAGAATATTTTGTTTGAAAATTTGCCAATAAAAATTTGCTTGACTTAATGTTATCATATTAAACACACCATAAAAGCAGATGGTTAGTTACTCACTTTTGCTCTACTGTGCTCACTCTTATTGATGTGGTAAACATTTGATTAAAGACGGGCGTTATTTTCAAAATTGTGAATGGCCAGCAGCCTCTATTCATACACTTCCCAAATGCTTTGTGATTGCAGGATGTTGAACTATATCAGTGCCGCCCTGTTGCAAGCTTCGTTAGGCGACTGGGCCCTCGTCTTCGCAGGCATTCTGCTGCTTCTCTACATCGTCGGCACTTGGAACTACGACTACTTCCGCAAGCAGGGCATCCCCTCCACAAGCCCCAAAATGCCCTTCCTGGGTGACATGGCGGGAATGTTCTTGAACCAATCGTTTCCAGATATCGTAATGAAACAGTACAAGAAAGCCCGAGAACACGGAGTATATGGGGCATTTCAATTTATTTACCCTGTGTTTTCTGTAACCGATCCAGAACTTATCAAAGTGGTTACGGTGAAGGAATTCGACAACTTCATGAACCACCAGACGGTGCAAAGCGAGAAAACAGATCCACTTTTTGGCAAGAATCTATTCAACCTCAAAGGTAACTATTTTTAGGAGGAGCAAAAAAAGAAATATTCGACATAAAATCATAAAAATTCATTTTGACTAGCAGTTTTTACAAGCAGTAACATGAAAGCAAAATCTAGTATGTAATAATAAAATTGTCTTTTAAAAAAACCTGTTTTCATTCTACAAATTCACCAGTCACGAAATCGATAATTCCATACGTGTATTAAAGGTTAATAAAACTAGTAATTAAGTTATCTGTTTACTCACATCTCAGACCAGGCTTGGAGGGATATGCGAGCTACGCTAAGTCCCGCTTTCACCACCAGCAAGATCAAGGGAATGTTTCCACTCATTTCACAGTGTGGGGAGCAGATGGTTCGCCACCTACGTCAGAAATGCGCAAACAGCAAAGAGGGTAAGTCATAAAAGTCTGTTTTTAAATAGATATTCCTGCTAAGTTGATATTGGACTAATACTAACACTTATCGCTAACACGATCTTATCTAACTCTAAATAACTAATTATTATTTGACAAAAATATTATTATGCAAAGTGCAGCGTTGTGAAGTGCATCATTTAGATTCTCAATTATACATTTTATAGGCAGAACTATAATGGCAAAAAATGCTGTATTAATTTCTAGATTGTCGGACCCTCGTTCATTGCCCTGATGTCCAAAGCATAACACAATATGTCAAAATATGTTGAATGTAAAATATACTTGGGGGTATTTCATTTGTAACAAAATTAAAATATTTGTTATTGAGTTTTTTTGCTTTATGTACTTCTTGAAACTAAAACAATCTGTAAAATATCTTGAGCGAACAGGCGACCGAGAAAATGATCTAAGTAGACAATTTCAAGTTTCCTGCTAACGTAGGCGGTCGCAATTATAATCTCACAACTGAATGAGCAGAAAGAGCAGAAATTAAAGAAGAGATTATAACGTGAGAAACACGTACTCTGCTTCTTGGGATATTACAATTAACAAGAGGACAAATAAGAGAACAAACTTTCTCAGCGTAATTGAGCTCTCGAGTTGGGATATTAAAACGCGTGGTCCTCCGGATAATTTCATTGGGTCTTCTCATTAAGGTTACTTGTAGGCCCGGACATTCCACATGATGTTTTACTTTTTTCTCCGAAACCAGTGGACATTGTGTCTTACGACGATGCATATGTGACCTCGGAAAGAAAGGCTAGACTATGTAATCAAAAGTACCCGAACACGTCCAAAATGGTGTTACGGTGTGGTCGTGTTTTTTCCATGGAGGAGGCTTCCACCCCTTGTTGTTTTGTACGGCACTATCACGAAACAGGCCTATGTTGATGTTTTAAACATCATCTTGCTTCCTACTGTTGAGGAGCAATTCGAGGATGGCGATTGCATATTTCAACACGATCGAGCATCTGTTAATACTGCACGGCCTGGGGCGGAGTGTTTACACGACATTAACATCCCTGTAATGGACTGACTTGCACAGAGTCCTGACTTGAATCCTATCAAACACCTTTGGGATGTTTTGGATCGCCGACTTCGTGCCAGGCCTCACTGGCTTTCATCAATACCTCTCGTTACTGCGGGACTCCGTGAAGCATGGGCTGCCATACCCCAAGAAATCTTCCAGTGCCTGATTGAAAGTATACATGCAAGAGTGGACGCTGTCATGATGCCTAAGAGTGGGCCAACACCCTATTGAATGCCAGCATTACCGATGGAGAGCCCCACGAACTGATCATTTTGTGTCCGGATACTTTTGGTCACATAGTGTACATTCACACCAAGTTTCTTTTAACTCCGTAATTTTCAACCCTTGATGACTCTTGTAAAAGTATCGATCGCAGCGACTAGCGGCGCAAGAAAAGAAAGTTTAAAAGATCCGATCAATCGCACCAACCAAACATCTCATTCAAGTGAACGAGACTCTCCGAGATCTGACTCGAGTCCCATCCACAATTCAAGCTAGGCCTGCGATCTGGTTTGTGCTGGTTGTATATATACCGCATTGTCCCCATAGGTTCTTCCTGCAAGGCTGTAATAACGTGACAGATATACAGCCAATACGCCAGAGCCAGGATTTCAAGCTTCGTTTGAGTAAGAATGAAACCCTTTTCAAGTCGCAAGAGCCAATCTTGCAATTAGTCATAAACGCAGGGGCTTAAATGGTCGATGAGTTAGTTTCCACAACACTTAATATGAGAAGCACGATACTTGTCGAACTGATGCATTTGATCTTATTCTGATAGAGTACAGCATGGTGAAAGTTTTATTAGCTGCTCAACTTGTTTTACACAGAAATGGTGCGATACTAGTATCACCAAAACCCAAATACATAATATTTATTAGGTGTTTCGGATTTTCTAGAAATGTGCGTAAATATAGATTATTATGCTTTATATTCTCTTATGCTGTAAAAATAATTAATTTATTTAGGAACCATGAAAGAACCTCTTCCGACTGATATGAAAGACCTGTTCGGCCGTTTGGCGAATGATGTCATCGCCACCACAGCGTTTGGAGTCAGTTGTGATTCCATGAAGGATCCTGATAATGAATTCTACGTCTCTGGCAAAACTATGACTACCTTCTCCAAATTGCGGACTTTCATCTTCATAGGATACATACTCATCCCAAAACTAATGCAGGTAAAGCTTAAAATATTTGCAATACGCTTTTAAAATAAGTATACATTCAATTATTGCTAATGAAAATGTTTGCCAATGAAAATATAGATTTCAATATTATATCATTCAAAACACGGATGCTTTTAATGGAATGCACATTACTTCCGATCAACGTGACATCTACAGTAGGAACTATACAAAAATTACAATTTCGTTTTACAATTACACAATATTTTTCTCAGTCACAGAAATCGCGTACCCTCTAACGGTCTCATACCAAATGAGTAGAGTCAACAACGTATCCCAGAATGTTTTCCCTCTCTTTTGTTTCTTTTTATCATTTAGAACATTTAATATTACATCCTTTCTGAACCTTCAGTGAAGGTTGCGTCCCTCAACGCTTATAAACAATTTTTAAATTGAAAAAAACAATTGGTTGAAATGAATATAGTCTCCGGCGATCGCTTGCAGACATGCAAGCTGTGCTCCAAAACAATTGAAATTTTAGTTATCTCAGTAGTGAGACCTTTCTCCGTTTCTAGGACCATATGTTCTAGAAAATACTAAAAAATACTAAAAGGTTTTTGCAAAGAAGGCGAGCACGAATAGGGATATTGCATGGATTCAGAGCTCTTTAAGTGAAATTTTGAGGAACAACACATGAAAAGGCAAGTCCATTCCCTTCGTACTTAATCTAATTATAAAAAAGCACTGGTACAGATTGCATTGGGAGGTACTCAGGTACCCATAAGGTATTTAAGGAATAACATACAAGCCTTCAGTAAGACTCGTAGAAGATCCCAGTACGAAAATATTCTACCAGTCTGCTGCAGTTCCTAGGATTCAACAAGTGTCGGAAACCGGGATCAGCCACCGGATTCATCAGTCCGATAAGTTATTCTCAGCTGCAATACGTGCATTCTTGTCTAAACTGTATAGTATGCGTACCCCCATTTGTGAACTATTTGTCCATGTCGCAATACACAAACCATCGTATTTTTCGAGAATTTATCATAGTCCAAAGACTTCCACATAAGTCTATGAGTTATAACGCATGGATCTCCATTGTAAAACATCTGACTAGACGAAAGAGTGAGTGCATGTCCTCAAAAAGATCTTTTGATGATCAGGCTTTGAAGTTGCGAGTGCTGGACGCCAATGCGTCCAACTTCTTCGACACGCTGGTGCACTCTACAATCAAGGAGCGCCAGCAGAAGGGCATCTTCCGTCCCGACATGCTGCAGCTGCTCATGCAGGCGCACGAAGGGCAGCTCAAGGCGGAGAAAGAGGACGCGGAGGAGGCCGAGGATGTGGGCGCCAGGAAAGCCAGTAAGTTCTCTCACATTATCTTCATATATTTTCACATAAATCTAGGGCAGCTCGAGGCAAAGAGAACCCAGTGGAGGCCGGAGAAGAGGGCGCCAGGATGACCAGTAACACACACACACACAGACATCCCATTCATGTCCTTCCACACAAATCTTTTCAAATTTGTTTTGCCTCTTCCGTACTGTTTTCCGTTCAGTACAACAACTGACGGTTGGAAATAGCTATTGGTGAATTGTACACACAACATGAAGCCAAATGCTTACATATTTTTATTTTTCACCAAGGACTGCGATTCTTAACGACGCAAATCTCTTCGGTCATATTTATCAATCATTCCAAATTCCAAATATTCCAAATTCTGTGAATGCGATTAGCGTTGTACCATCTGAACACCTTTTAAACACCACATCCACCTATTAAAGATGCCAGAAATCTCTTGCGCTACCGCCAGTATATAAAAAACTAGGCTTTGTTATTGGCGTACACCTACAGGGTCTTTACATAGGACGAGTGTAACGTGATATTATCCACATTTTGAAGGTGACCTCACAGAGACGTTCTTTAGAAAACCGTACCCTGGCCCTGGATCTATTTAAAATATATTTAAACTTTAAAGACATTCATTTTCGGCAATTTTTCTCAATATCTATTAGAAATTCGAAGATTCAGTAGGGAATATAAAATAACTATTTTCGTAACCTTACAAATTATTGTGTTTCAGATTTATCAGACGACGATCTATCTGCACAAGCTGTAATATTTTTCTTCGCTGGATTCGACACTGTTTCATCGGCTCTTTGTCTCATTGCCCATTTGCTCTCACACCATAAAGATGTGCAGAACCGTGTGTATGCAGAAATATGCGAAGTCATGGAAGAAACTGGAGGAAAGCCTGTATACGAATCTGTTCAGGGAATGAAGTATTTGGACGCGGTAATCAACGGTGAGTGACCATCAATAAAGAACGAAGAGCACCACTTGGACGTCTTTTAGCATTTTATAACGATCATTCCCTAGCGCAGGGGTGCTCATATTGCAAGGCCTGAAGCGCCACAATTAAAACCTTTGCTACGTCTGCAGGCCGTATTTTCATTACTCGGGCGCTCCAGATCTGACTTTCCCGCCCTCGGTTGATGATGTCGGTGCCCTGAAACGGGGGGGGGGGAGGATGGAACCATGCTTTATATCAGACCTTACTACGAATAAGGGAGTGAAACACATTCGGATGATTTAGAATTTCTGAATATACTAGAAAAAAATTCTTAATTCTTAATTTAACCTAATTTTAAATTAAGGCAGTGTTGACCCCGACAAGGCGCGCGCGCACACTGTTCTTTCCCGACAGCGACTTTCACTTCTGATTAATATCCTTTCGCGGGCCACAATAACTAGCAACGCAGGCCACATGCGGCCCGCGAGACGCAAGTTGGACATCCCTAAACTAGATTGTTCTCTGTTTGATACAGAGTGTCTGCGCTTGTACCCACCTGCAGTGGCGACCGAGCGCGTGTGCCAGAGAGACACGCAGTTGCCCGCCGGGACAAAGTCTCGCCCAGTGACTGTGAGGAAGGGCCAGGCCGTGTCAATCCCCATCATGGGTCTGCACTACGATGCAGAATACTGGCCCGATCCTGAGAAGTTCGACCCCGAGCGCTTCAGCGACGAGAACAAGCACAACATCAAGCCCTTCACCTACATGCCGTTCGGCGTGGGCCCTCGTTTCTGTATCGGTAAGTGAAGAACCGTCTTTGTGAGATAAGAGCAATATAATTCTGTGAAAGACTGCCACTGAGAAGTCGAAAAGCTCTATTATATATCCCTTTCGTTACACCTCATACAACTAATCTAAACAAATGCTCCAGCGAAAAAAAAATTTCATAGTAGAAGTAGCATTTACATTTTTTAAATTCATAATTTACCCATATTAATCATTTGTTGACATATTGTATAATTCAGTTTCTTGACATCCTTGCATTCTGATCGACCCACTATTTGACAACAGTGTTGTTTATTTCTCGTGTTCCTGACAAATATGGCGTTTATCACACTGAAAAATTTTGAAAACTGCTTTATTATAATGTAATGTTTTCAGAACCTGATCTTGCAGATTTATTTCAACTACAACCTATTCTGACTTCATATTTGCATTTTTAGTCACTTAAAGGATTGGTCCTTGTTGATGTCTATCTTGTCCAATATCTTGGTCAATAAAATGGTTTGTCTCTCCGAAGCTGTTTTTACATTTTTTGTTTCACGTTTTATATCGAGAAGTATCAACAATTCATTTTGCGATATTCTGCCTGTATTGCCTGTTTTTCCCCAATGTTTCATGCTGCACTTGTAATATATCTTGTTTCATTCCTTCGCCTAGAGTTAATGACCGATGTTATAAGAAGTCATGTTGATGAATGACTATGCTTAGTAGGTTTGTATTTTGCCTGGTTCAAGATCATGAAACACGCATATCAACTTGAATAATATGTCGTTACTTCTTTGCCCTTTTAAATCGAGTTTTTTTTTACATTTGCTAAGCCCGAATGTCAAGCAATGTCAGTGAAGATTTTATTTACCACAGACAGCATTTGATAGAGTCACATCATAAATAACAAACAATTTAAAATCATCCATGTCAAATGTCTTATTGAATTTTTCTCACTATGAATTTTTCTACACGAAGTCTGGTTACGACCGTTGTCTAGATGCAGGCACCACACTCATGCGAACTAGTAATGCACATTGTGTATGTCCTTGGAAAATCTCATTGAAAAATAATTTGAATATTCCGTGTTGTGCTAACTGCGTGGAAGTAACCTGGTACTCCCAAGATTTCATACATTCCTTACAAAACTCTTTACGAATACAGAATGAAATAAATAGATCTCCGGTGCTTTCAGTATTTAACCGTGTGGTACATGTCAATAGCCTTCTATAGCCTTCTGGTGGTTACGTCAAGCCATGATCAAAATATATTTTCATTTCCTTACATAATTTAAGATGATTTCTTGAATAGTAAGATTTGCTTGTAGCCATAGAAACCTTCAGAACATACTTTCTGTTCAGTTGACCATAGATGATTCTTATTTATTATTATTATTATTATTATTATTATTATTATTATTATTATTATTATTATTATTATTATTACAAACTTAAAATTTTACTACTGCGTTTCAGGACAACGATTCGCTCTGATGGAAGTTAAGCTTACGCTGGTGCATCTCTTGGCGAACTTCGAACTACACCCCTGTTCAAAGACGAAAAACCCTCTGGAGTTCACGTCTGCATTCAACTTGATGGCGAAAGGGGGCTACTGGTGTGGTATCACGGCGCGGGACTCTTGAGCCACAAGATGGAGTCTCAGCAAGGCTGTGTAACATTCGTTTCTTACATTGAGAGTAAAAGCCTATTGTTATATTTATTCCTAATTCAACAATGTATATTTAAAGAGTGGGGTAAGGGACTTTTGAGGTTAAGAAAACGTGCGAAGCTTTTACGTTTCTCCCACAGATCACGTACTGATTTGGCGGTTTTTAAGCAATTTGATAAAAATTAATAAAAAATTAAAACCTTTCAATTTCTGGAACTCAGAACAATCTCAGCTATGATTGTAAACATATGAAGGATATTCCCTATTAGTTGTACTTGGTTAAAACTAATTGTTTAAATAGTGAGTTGGCAAATAAGTCCCTTCAGTTTTCTGGGTTTGAAAGGATACACAATTATTTGGTATAAGTCCATTATTTCAATCAAGTACATACTGAGGAGTATATTAATAACCTTTTGCCATTTTCACCAACTTGATAACAATACCTTCATAGAATATCTGTGGTTAATCGACAAAAAACTGCTGTTGGTGCGTTTGTACAGTCTCCTAATAGCGAGGGTTTTCCCTTTCATGGAATTCTGCTAAATAGGATAGACTGAATGCGCCAGGTTGGGTGAATCTGGAGGATGAGTGAAAATTTACCAGCCAAGACGTAACAGTTTCTGCCGGATGGTTAGCGAAATGTGAGGTTTCGCATTGTCATGCTGGGAGACGGAACACTTACAATTGGTCAATTCTTGCGCGAAATACATTGCTTTACGTACTTAACTGCGAGCAAAATATAGTTGAATCAATTGCCCTGCCAGTTGTTACCCTCTCGTAATGCACAACACCTCTATAATCACATCATGTGGAGAGTTCAAATTTCTTCCCGCCTTCAATCCCGCCTTCGAAATTATTTGCTGCACCTCATTGCTTTCCTCCTACGATCTTTACGCACTAGATTATCGTAGTATAAAGCGTGATGTTTTTGGCCTTGTGATAGTGATTTGCAGATGGATATGTAATTGATCAAGTTCACCTCTGTTTATTAATGCGGCACCGAATGCCGCTTTAAGCAGAGAATCGAGTCCTAGGTGGCGGAAATGGATTTCTACACTTCTATAGAAAATGTTCAATGAGGCAGCAATCTTCCGTTTGTGATGGATTTGCGTAAATAATTGCCTTGCCATCACTATACTGTGAAGTTCTGTCAAGTTCGAAAAAGGGAAGAGAAAGGCTGACTCCGTAGGGCGCTGCAACGTCACCTCGCTGTAATGGCAGCTGCCTATTACAGATGCCTCTGTCCGCTCCTTTTTTCTATACTTGTCCTTCCTCCTTTTTCGAGCGTAACCTTGACAGGTCACATGCAAAAAATTCGAAGTATAGAATCAATCTTGGTCGGGCGACCTGCACGTGATGTGTCGTTGACGTCTCAAGGATTTTTCCCCCCAGGGCCTTTTACAGCCGACAGCCAGTTTCCCTTTACGACCCAATGAGATGGATATTCGACCATGCACTTTATAGTAACACACCTGCGGATTCCTCTGATCTGGAGTCAGCAGCATGGGAGGCCCTCCGTGACAACACGTGGATGAGAGACAAGAAACAACAACGATGCCCAAGGCGGGACACGAACCCTTTGCGTCCCTTCGCACCTAAGCGATGAGTCGGCTCACGCTCTTAGCCACCTCGGTCAGCTGTCGTCCAAGTTTCCCGAATGGAATTTCTCAAACCGCTTTTGGCACTTGCGTTCGTTACATTCATCATCCCCGGACACAAGGACAGTATTTCTATGTGCCTCTATAGCTCGTTTGCTTCTTTATAATTTTTTTTTTGCAGGCGTACAGCCTCTTTTACAAAGGGTATGAATACGTTCGTTACAGATTTAATGAGTTGATTTATATTTTGAAACTATTAGAATTATTTAGAGGAGTTGTATGTGCGAGGGGTTTAGGGTGGGGTCAAAAAATGATACGGATACGGTTTGTTTGCCTGGATCTTGGTAGGTTCGATAGTTCAGGTTGTTTGCTTGTAGATTTTTTCTTATCGTCTTATAGTCTTCTACGTTGATTACAATTACTTGTGTGTATTTTCATTTGTTACGAGTTTGAAACTGGTTGAATTTGAGTCTTCGATGGATGGTTTTGATTGGGTTGGGATGATCTTGGGCGTCGTGAAGGAATACGGGGGGAATAGTTACTTTTTTAAGTTTGAGGAGGTGGGATTTGTGGGGGTATCTTGGGTGTTAAGGGTTTCGAAACGGTTTTCTACAGGGACATTGTACATTGTGGGTGAGTAGGGGGTAAGGAATTATTTAGGCGGGGACGTTTATTAGACTACTGACCCTGCGTTTCGGGATTGTGGGCTATTTCTTAATTTGAGTTAAGAGGTTCCGTGGGTTTATCATCCGGCTGCTTATAGACTTCTTGTAGAGATGTGCGGGAGGATTGTCGTGGTACTGGTATAGATATATGAGCGCGCTTGACCCTGCTTCCGACCCTGATTGTGCTAAAATGTCTGGGGATTCTGCCATGGCGCAGTTCAGATTCCAATGATGGAGTTCGCACTTAGTCTAACGCTAAATTCGGCTAAGAATTTGACACTTCAACTATAAACACTGACAACACTCGTTGAGTAGATTTGCCGCAAAGTGGCAGTAGCGGCTATGAGCCGCGCCCGGCGCCCGGCTGTCGCACGTCCGCTGGGGTGTGGCGCTGATAACACTGCCGCTTGCCATAACGACGAGCGGAGCACAACAGAGCTCCTACCGCTCAACAGAGAACCGCTCCTAACGAAGCTGGGAGCGGAATGTTGCCTTTTATATAATAAGACAAAATAATATGGCGATAATGGCGAAATTTGCTACGTCTATCTTCGAAGCTGCGCTGTTCACACAGTACTGAAGTATGTGAAACAAAATTTTACGGGATGTGTCCGCTGACGTGACATTCAACATGCGCTGTCGATTTGTCCGGTGTCCCCGAGCAAAGGTGGAGAAACTGGAGGGAGAAACGGTGAGAAACTGTGCTAAAAATACCGAACGGACGTATTTGTCAACTCATGAATGCCTAGAACTTCCACTAAAGACGATTCAAAACAGCCCTTCTGTTCTAAGGCGGATGCACACTAGGGTACCGAGACGATGTTGCTGAAAAGGCATATCAAACTTATAGCCACTTACGACATACTCAAACAAGTCATATTTGTTGCCACACACACACACACACACACATTTGATTCAAGTCCTTCAATAAAAAATTGTCTAGTTGTGTTTGTACAAAATGATTATGTCAGTGTCAAACGACACGCTATTGATGCCGTCACTCCCCCTTATCAGGACATTTTGAAGGTCAGAGGCTATCGCATGCAAAACAGGATCCTAAACACGAGAATTATCTTGTTGTGAAAAGTATTTATATTTTTTTTACCATTCCATCTTCTTTCCTTTCTAAAGAACCTGCAGCAGTTAATCGGCAAATATCATCAGATTTAATGTGAGCAAACAATTTATATTTTTATCAGTATTATGTATATTTCATAGCAAAGTGTTTCGCAAAACTCTAATGTACGATACAAATTAATTTTAATGTAATTTATAGTAAATAAAAGATAGTTTGTAAATCTTTCTTAAAAAACGAAAACTTATTTAACAATTCCGTTGACATTGTGTTGATCCCAAAAGTTATTTTTTTAGCACAATATTCACATATCATAAATTCCAGAGTGATGAAAAGTTAACCATCATTCTGAATGCAAAGATGACTAAATATAGTATTTTGGACTATTCTGATTCATCCCAGCGAAGTCACTAAAGTGGTTGATCTGAAGGAGGTCAATAGAGTGGAAGATATGAGAAAGTCAGTTCAGTTGTGTATCTGAAGAATGTTGATCAGGTAAACGATCTGTATACTACCATTAAGTCGATGACCTGAACTCGATGAAGAGGAGTATCTAAAATCGATTAAGTAATATATAAATACAATGCGAACAAATTGATAATCAAAAATGTTGGGCCATTGGATGTTTTGAAGATGGTCGTGCTTGAACAGCATTTTCGCTCGTATTTTTACGCAAAATTACGCGGAAAATAATCAAATTTTCGAAAAATTGTACATGAGCTTATTTCAAAATCTACCTTTAAAGAATAGGTTTGGAAGGGAATTAATAATCTCTATACGAATACTATTAAATTAAGGGAAATAATCTCTATACGAATTCGTATTCATAATTGTAGTTGCAGGAAGACTCCGAAAAAATTTTGAACTTTTGAAATTTTCGAAAAATCAAGGTTACAAGGTGACAAGCATGAGACCTGCACAATCCTCTAAAACGTCCTTTACACTATGCAAAAACAAAATTTAATCATGGAGCCATGTTTATGAAAATTTGGGAAAGGTCCCAGAGACTTCATGTAAAGTACTCGCCAAAATTGAAATATCAAGGAGAAAATAACAATTGAAAAGCCGGCGTTATCAGTCAGACTGACTGCAAAATATCAATTTTTGGAAAAAATCAGTTGCCACTAGCGTTGTTCACAAGTTGTCGGAAAGCCAGACGTTTTGAGTCATTCGATCGTATAAAGAACCCGTCATTGTTTCTGGCTACACCGAGTGATAGACTATTTTTTCTAAATTTAGCGAATGAATTTATTCATTCTTTCAATACCACACTTTTCAACCCCTGCCGAAGCCGTGGATTTTTAGGGCGAAAAATTTCTTCGTACGCCTTCCTTCCGGGGTGAAGTAAAGCCGGCTGTCCCATATTAGTAGATTTACTGTATGTAAAAGATTCTTAAGCCTAAAGGAAGCCTCTGAGCTAAATTCAAATCGCCTTTTTCGTCGCCCAAGAAATAATTTTATTCACCGATAGTTTGTGAAAGGAGCGTAGCAAAATTTGCGTGGTCAGACGGAAGAGCAGGCCTCATGGCCTGAGACTCGCCACGTAAAATAAGACATCAATTCAATTCGATTTATGAGAATGATCTAAGAAAGTGGATAACTAAAAGGATGTTGTAGATATAAAATTTTCAAACGATCGGTTTGATGAAGATTGTCGACCAAATCCATTAACCAACCACTTGTGGAGCTATGCTGGTATTTTTAAGACATTTTTCGATTTCTTCTCTATATTTCTTTAATCATAAGTCATGTACACAAATGATTTAAAGCAATGTTGAAGAGGATGAAGTTTTGTACAACTTTTGAACAAAACATTTCTTTAGTTCAAAAGATGTGACAATTCTCTTGAAACTGACAGTGCTTGGATTAGTATATCATACATCGATCAAAATGCCATTTAAGAGGCATCGAAATATTTTCTATTATGTGCTAGAATGTAATGAATTTAATACAACACTTTAATCAAAAAGATCAAGTTAGTTTTTTTTCTGACTGTTCTACATTACTTCATATTCCCAATAAAGACAAGAACTTGTGGAACCTTTAACATTAAAAGAGTTAAGTTAAGAACAAAATCTTATAGGAACTTATTTGTAGGAAATTTTGCCTACTTCAACTTCATACAATACATAAGTTTCAGTAGAATTGATAGTTATGGAAATAAATTTAAAAAAACGTACAAAAATGCCTTTAAGCGGCCCCGTAACGCCGGCTCACCCCTTCACACTTCAGAATTTTTATTATAATAAGCGATAGTTACAAAAGATCTATCATGCCAAGTTTCATTACTTCGAGATTTTCTTTCACTTAATTTGTCTAATTTGAATGGACTAATTGCTCCGAAAACATATTAATGCACATGGACGTGTGCTATCATAAACTTGTGTCTATGTGCATACATTTTGGAGAAATTAAAAAATAACGTTATTTAACGGATGTAACTCGCCTGGAAATTGGTTTAAAAAAATATGTTTGATGCAAAAATTGTAAGAAATTTAATTCTCCTTAAAATTGCTTTGAATTATTTTTCTAGAAGATTTAATTTGCAATATTTACTGAACAGTACCCGAAAAAGTAAAAAAATACAAGTTTTTCACGCCTCTTGGAATTAGCACAAGGACTTTGAGATCCAAATTTTGGAGTTTTAATTACATAGTGGCTGGTTGCATACAACATATCTAAAGAAAAAGTTTTTTGACCTTTTCCAGGTAAATTGTACTTGCCGACTGGACAATTCAACAATTCATAATTTTCAGATTCTCCATATTACCGATTATAAAGTTTATTGCCCTGTCATTGATTTGAGTATTAGAATGAGTATTATTGTTAGGAGCAACTTAAGACATGTTTACGGCCCCTGATGATGTTAATCTTGCGCTGATAAGAAAGATACACAAATACAAGACAGAAAGATATACAAATACAAAAATAAAACTTCTTTGTGTATCCGCCTCATGCATTGCCGTGACCTCCGCAGAGGCACTGGGGCGGCGTCTAGACGATGACATGTGAAGGTCGTTGTGACGCAGAAATTTGCTGCCCAATAACACGTTCGCTCTCCCAAGCCCATACTCCGTTGAAAATGTAGTGTCGCCTGACGTTGTTTTCAGGCTACCGCGGTTATCTAATCGGGAGCTTCGTTGCGACTGAATTTTAGGCACTGACGCTCCCGATTGGATAACCGCGACCCAGCTGATGGAACGTCAGAAGTCGTTTTAATGAAATCGGAGAATAGTCACACATACGCGGGCGGGCGAGCGAGCGAGCGAGCGAACCTTACTCACTCAGTCGTCAGTTGTTGAATGTGGTGGGCAGGAACGTGTGCAACGGGGGAGAACGCGACGCCCAACCCGGCACGTACGTAACGCATAAGCAGCACACTGTTCGCAGCGACGCCGCCGTATGAGGGCACAAACCATCCTAAGGCGATAAACAAAAGACGAATTAGTCATAAAACATAGTTTCTTGAAGAAATAAATGTTTATTTTTTGCGCTGATTCAAAATGTATCTAGTAGCATATTGACGTGTTTCATACTCACTAGATGCCCTTTTGTCATTTCGAATCAATATTATCACGGAGCGATGGCAATAAACATTTAATTGATACTCCTGAAATTTGTGTTTTACATATTCGTCTTTTACATACATCACCCTTGCATTATTCACTAGTCTTAAAGCTATCGTTTTTATCGGTTTCGTTTTTTATTTGAATAAAACACCGTTTATGACACGTTAGAGAGACGGTAGACAGTATCTAAAGTAATATAGGTCTATTTTAGACCTAAAATATAGAGATATAAAAAACATTTCTTCGTCAATAGTAATTCACGAGATGACACATCCTGCATTGCCGTTTTTTTAATCGTAATCATCCTGCGCAAAAGCCCTGCACTCCCCCCACTTCCACACTGTTAAACTTGTACACAACGCTTGTTACGATCATCGTTGCCACCAACGAAGCTACGGGAAGCTACAGATGAATTGTTGCATACTCCCGGTAAAGTAACAATTCTGACCTTCAATTACTCTGAACCTAATTACGATATCAAAAATGAGTCAAAATGTATTTTGTTTAAAATTTTATTGGCTTTCAGAAACATTCAATTCACATGGGTGAACTTACTGTTTTGGATGTATTTGCGAAAACCAGAGAAAGTGCACATTTAAATATTACTGTAAATGAGTGGAAAAGGACATAGGTGTATTTGTTACAAAATCCCATACAGATTGTAACGTTTCCTCTTGCTTTGATGGTCACGTGTAGAACATTTGATTGAAATTGAAATAAACTTAGATTTATATCAAAAGGATACATTCCCTTTTGTGATAAAGCATATAATAAGTTGAAAAAAGTAGTTTTAGTTATGCCAGACCCTGCACACTTCGTGTAAAACGTATCGAAATCTGTTCAGACGTTTCAGAGATTACCTCGGTCAACAGACCACAAGAATTATAAAAATAATATAACAGGTTATTTATGTTACCTCCTGATTATGTGCAGATTATAAAAAAAATCTTACTTTGAAATAACAGAAATAAACTTCGTTTATACATTTTTTTAAAAATAATCGTGAATACTAACTATAAGGGTGCCAACTGAAATATACAAAGAAAATAACTACCATCTTGGATGGGGAGGGGGGCGGTTTTGTCTGCTGGAGCAGTCGTGCCCTTGCCCTTGCTGCAGCTGACACGGCCCACAGTTGTCACACGTCCACAGTTAACACGGTCCACAGCTGCGGCTGGCAAGTGAGCTAATGTGTCTCTCGTTCGAAAGGTCAACGACGACACACAGTATGAGCAACACCACAAAAGTACTTTTATTTCTACCCATTTTCACCGATACCTAGAATGGCTAACGTAATACTAGTTCAGTAACTGTAGCATGCATTAAACAGAAAAAATAGCATAAATGTATTAGGTAGAATACATACATATATAAATTGGTTATGAAAAGTTGTCATTAACACTCTTATTATTATAATGTAAAGTACATTAAAGAAAGAAATTAGAACCATTTTAAAGAACATTTTCAAAATTCCCCAGATGCTTCATGTAAAGTACGCCCCAAAATTAAAAGATTCGTTTTAAATTTGCAGGGCCATATTGTTTTGGCAATATTCATTTTGAGAATAATTCTATGCAATTTGTTTATGCGCTAGTGTTGCACACAAGACGGGTGGAGCGGGCGATTGGCAGAAGGACACACGAATGGGCGGATAGACGGATAAACGGACGTAGTCACACACGGACACGCAAACACACGGGCAAGCAGACATATGGGCACGCTGCCGGACGAACACGCAGCCAGACAGCCACGCAGGCGGATACGCAGACGGGCATGCAGACGGACTAGCACACAGCCAGGCAGCCACACAAACAGACGGACACGCAGACGGCAGGATACGCAGACAGACGGGCACGCAGACAGACGGATACGCACGCAGACGGGCACGCATGCAGACGCAGATGGACGGGCACGCAGACACACGGGCGCGCAGACAGACGGGCACGCAGACAGACGGGCACGCAGACATCATCAACAATTTCCAAAGCACTCGTGGTATTATATATGATAAACATTTACATTGAATCATTTCGTGGCAGTTGACATGCAGGATTCAGCCAAGGCCACCTAGCGAATAACTGTCTCCCTAGCCTACCGCCGGTGGCTTTGGTTTACTGCGCTAGTAAAATTTATTTCAAACAAGATTCCACGTAAAAAATTGCAAATAAAAAGAAATTAAAACTCAAAAGCATTATAAAATATTAAATGCAATTCTAATGTATACAATCCAACAAAACATTTACTAGAACGCTTCTCAATGATTAAATGTCAATACTTGCTTTGTACATGTCTCTGTGATTGGTCAAGAATATGTATCATAATGAAATCTGTATCGTAATGAATATCATGATGCAACGGGTTGCAGCCATCGAATGATAGAATTATACATGAGACTAGAAGAACGTTTTCGATATTAGGGGAACACAATTCCGCAAAAATCCCAACGTCGATTTTTCACATTAGACAATTTTCTCTGTAATTATCTCTGTATATACTTCACATATACTACTTATGCGAGAAACTAAATCCTCACATTATCCCAATTCTGAGAACGTAATATGGTTCAAATAAAACTTAAGTGTGGTAGTGGTATTATGATGGTTGTTACGCGGAAGTTAATGCAAAATACAGTAAAACTTAAGCCGGAATCTCTGAAAGGTGGAAATCTGGTATCCTGGATAAGAAATCTCAGAACAGAGTTATGTGATACGTGAAATAGTTTTTAGAGAACTAAATTAATTTTCATCTGGCTAAGAAAAAAAATTATTTTTAAGTTTCCGGTACTATCTTTAGAATGAAGTAGTGCAAAAGGGCACGTCCTGAGTCAATAGCGAGAACGACGTTTTTGTGGCGGTTCTCTGCGAGTTTCTCACTCATTGGTGTACCTTCCAACGTCACGACCAGCGCGACTTCGTGGCTGTTGCTCCGAATTCTTAATGTTGGTCGTCCACACCCGTTCATTTCTCAAGAGCGTCACCACATTTCTTTCTGAAGTCAATGGAATTCCGTGAAGGCTAGCATATCATCCTGCCGTGACAGTCGCGAGGTGTAGACCAGACGATTTAGTGAACGCTCGCAGCGTAGTCTAGGGAAGCTTCTCTTTAATGTGTACATGCAACATGCTCGCTACAGAAGAAAATGCAAGCGATTGAAGAACGCGAGAAGAAAAACGTTGCAAAATTGAAAGTAATTCAAAACAAAACTTATTACTTTATATGCAAAGACGACAAAATTCGATACGAATGGATAAAAGGAAATTCAGTGGACGTGAAGTGCCTCGCGAAAGTTACAGGGAACATGATGCAAAATAATGCGGTATTTGAGTAGTTTGTTTCTGCATGCGCACAAGGAATGCGTATTTTTCGGTCCTATTATTCAGACAGAAGCATTGAAAGTGGCTAAAGCACTTGGAATTGCCAAGTTAAAGCTTCTAACGGATGGTTGGAAAGTTTCATAAGACTTCAAAACATTATCTTCAATCGCGTGTGAGGTAAATCAGGCAGCGTGAGAGTAAGGAAAGAAAATTTTCGATCTATTGTTGAAGGGTATAAAACTAAAGACATTTTTAACGAAGCTCAGACAGGAATTTTCTACAAAAACTTCAGCTGTGAGGGTGACAAATGTGTCGAGGGAAAGATGTCCAAGAAGCACCTAACAATGTTTGTGGTAATATGGGAAGGGAACTTCAAAAACTTCCAGTTCTCTTGCCAGCAGGCTCTAGGAGCTCGGAATGTTCAAAAACGTTCCGATATTTAAATCGTTCGTCTCTACGATTGATTTGGAGAAACAACAAAAGTCGTGGATAACTAGATTGATCGGAAGAATGACTGAGAACTTCCTCCTTCTGCCTTGACATATTGGGCTGGTGCCCGTTGTGACTTCCTTCGTTGTTGCACCAATCTCTTTCTTGGGCGTCACAAACGTCTTTTCCCAGGAACTTTTAGACCGGGGATGTCCAACTTAAAAGGACTTATGGGCCGCTTATCAAATTCTAGTTAACCCGCGAGCCGCACCATAATTTTAAGGTGGTTTTTATCCTAACTACTGAAATTATACTGAAAAAATGTATATTAGATACGAATTTTATTCAAAATACTTAATTATTAATGAACATACAAAGAGAAAATTAATCATGTATTGTCAAATAATGTATTTTTACGTTATATTCTTTGGGCACTGAAACAACTTGCATGCGTACCAAACACTGTAGTTTCCCATTGTTTAATGCAATCAAAGAATAAAATGCCCAACTGTTGCTGTAAGCTCTATTTTCACTCTCAATTTTACATTTAACTGACATTCCACTCATACTGAAAATAGAAAACGAGAATTGTTAACTCCACTAGTCCAATAAAAGTCACGCCTCAAGCTTTAAACACAAATAATAAAAGAAAGATCCGTGACAAAACTGCACTGATCTGAACTGACGAAACTGAACGACCACTGAATGACAATGACTGAGTGAGTGTAAGAGAAGAATCAGGCAGCGAAGACGGCCAAGTCCATGCTGCGACAGAATGGGGTGGATGCCTTTCGGAATTCACGGTGCAGAAGCAAAAGATTTGACGAACAATACAAAGCGTTATAACAGTCTGTCAGCTATCTCTACAATATAAGACTTTAATTAGACCACTAATGTTGAGGTTTATATTTCACATTTATAATTACAGTTATGTAACTATAAATATACATAACATAATAATTAAAAAGCTTTTAATTTGTTTGGTATAATAAATAGTAGTCGCGGGTCGCACAAAATGGTCCACCGAGCTACAAGTTGGAAAGCCCTGTTCTGGACTAAAGACGTTAGAAAACTAATATTGCAAGAAAGTCTCTGGTATTCTCATGAACCATTAGTTTTATTTCAATAAATGTTTTTACGCTTTTATGATTAGGCTACGATTCGTTTCATATTTTAAACAATTATTTATAATATAGCGTACGTGGCTTTAGCAGTGGATTTCAAATTCTGTGAAAATTTCATTAAATTTACTCACAGTGTCTGCTTGAAACTAATTGTTTTGTAAAATCTGGTTTCCAAGTTCAAATTTTCAAGTAGGCAGCCACCAAATTGATATATTTGCAATATTTATTTGTAAGTGTCAATTAGTGATGTACGAATAAACGCATGTTACATTATATAAAACGTCTCGTGTTTTTGCGGTGGCAACTACGTACATTCAAAACAAGTTTAATTTCGTTGAATAGTGAATTGTGTAAAAACTTCATTTCATGCATTGCCAAAACCTTCTGATTCCAGGATGTGGCACTACTTGACAGACTTTTTGTCGCAAACCTCGCTATGCGACTGGGCTTGCGTCTTCGCAGGCATACTGCTGCTCCTGTACGTCATCGGCACTTGGAACTACGACTATTTCCGCAAGCAAGGCATCCCCTCCACAAGCCCTAAACTTCCCTTTATAGGTGATATGATGGGAATGTTCTTGAACCAGTCATTCCCAGACATGGTAAAAAAGCAATATAAACAAGCTCAAGATCACGGAGTGTATGGACTCTTTCAATTTATTTATCCTGCGTATATTGTGGCCGATCCAGAACTTATCAAAGTGGTCACAGTGAAGGAATTTGACAATTTCATGAATCACATGACTATGCAGAGCGAAAAAACTGATCCAATTTTTAGCAAGAGTCTTTCCAACCTCAAAGGTAATATTTTGGTTGGCTATTTTTCAAATCAATACAAACGTCACTGAAAATGCCAATCTATTTCATCATTCACCTTTCAGACCAGGCCTGGAGAGACATGCGAGCTACGCTGAGCCCCGCCTTCACCACCAGTAAGATCAAGGGAATGTTCCCGCTCATTTCGGAGTGCGGGGAGCAGATGGTTCGCCACCTACGACAGAAATACGCGGACAGCAAAGAGGGTAAGAGAAAATATTTCGTATTTTCTTCTGCAGATCTTTCACTCCTTTTAATTGATATTTCTTTCTTGACATCAGAAGAAACACTACATTTTGTTTAAAGTGCAGATTTCAATGAACGGCTAGTTGGAACAACAGAACTATGTAGATAAAATAAATTCTATATTCACTGATTTGTTGTGAATAATAATTGTACACTTGCACGGACTTGGGAACCTTTTACAATCTGTGTACCAAGTATTGTAATTTTTTGAGAAATTCTCTTCGAGAAGTTTTGGTCGATTTTGTGTAATATTTGACATTGGCACTACGTATATTAAATATTAAAAATTAAATAATAAAAATATAATTCACTTACATCAAAATAACCTAAATAATATTTGGGAGATTTTGTTCAAACATATTTTATTGGATACGTTACAATTCCCATAAATTAACTGTTAATGAAAATATATTTTAAACATTTCTAAATATCTGTAATATATTTCTGATATAAAATTATGGTTGAATATTTGTGTATTGTTTTCAAGTTCAGCTAATATAAGATTACAAAAATTAAAATCCATACTAAATACTCTACATTCTGATTTTCAAATAACCACATAAATCCACATAAAGCAGAGACACCAATAAATAAGACGGTTGAAAGTGAAAATTAAACTGTAACAAAAGTGCAATCGTTTTACTATAATTGTAATTAGGAAAAGTAAAGTTCAAGAAATTTCTTACACAACACAGGCGCACAATATATCGTACTTAGATAATACTGTGCTTGTGGATCAGTTAAACCGTTTGTCGTATACAGATTTGCTTCAGCATTTTTTAAATAAAACACGTCATAATCCCATAATTTCCAGCTTGTAAGCGAGTAAAGATAAACTAGCCCAGGTCTACATCAGATCTTTGTGAATACGCTGAACGTAAGAGGTGAAGGTTCTCTTTCCAAGGAGTCTCGTCTGGCCGAAATGTTGCTAGTTCCGCAAAGGAGTTGGGTGGGCAGGGCTGAAGTATGTAATGTACTTAGGAAGGTCGTTACAAAACCACGTTTCGCGTCTTTTGTTTAAGGGATCAATATTCGAAAGGAGGACTTCGTTCAGTATATAATTCGGGAGCATTAGTAAGTGTAACTACCTATCTGATCAGAAGTGCCTACTTAAGTTATGCAATACCCAATAGTGGAGTGCGCTAGATAAGTCCCACCGCACTGAGCCAAATCAGGACCGACTAACTACTGCAATGTTGGTAGCAACCAGGCCACGGTACACAAAATTTACTTTTTCAAGCCGCATCTCGCGCTACCAACATATTTTTTCTTGCTAGCACTCTCATGCGCAAGGTGCCACTGCGGATAGACTTTCCTGGGGCACTATTGTAAGACTTTAGCCACTTTCAGATGTGTCCAAATTTTCAGTTGTTTATTTTTACAAGGGCTGACGTGCGGTACGCAACTGGAGAGAAGACGAAGTTAGGGCGTTTGTCTTTGCAAGGCGCGAGAGATGCAGCATGCGGCTTTTTGTGGTGTGGGGTCCAAATGTGAATTTAGAGCAAACCGATCGCCATTTATGTTCTACACTGAGACTATAAAAATGAATATAATATAGAACAGTATTTTAACTGTTTTTGGTATAAATAAATAAATAAATATTAAAAAATAAATAAATGTTAAAGTTTGCCACTAACTATGACTAGTCGTTTTGCATATTAAAGTCTACCACCTTTACTTTTAGTTTCCAAGATAAACAATAGAGCTACTGATACCACCCACATTCATCCTCATAAACACCAAAGCACAAAGCATCTCTTGTCAGAAACGAAACAGAACAAGAAGTTTTAATCTTCTTCCTACTGGCGGATTCTTTACCAAATTCTCCATCAGTACTTTCACCTACAGCAGCCAATATAATTTTCATCAGTGTTTCTCTTTCTCGTTGCCGCTTGTATGTCAAAAACGAATAGAAACAATAAAGGCTCCCAAAAGCACATAGTACTAGAGCCAAATATCTAATACTCCGCAGTGATGTAATCTCTGAGATAAGCTCGGCGCAAACATTTAGGAAATATCGGCACTGATCGAGGTTTCATTTCACTTCTGTGCTCTTCGCAATCACTTTGAATTATATCGTCTGAAATGCAAATAGCGCCCCTTCCTGAAACTTCGGAAACCTCAGTAGAGCAACTATCCAAGACACATTCTCTGAATAAGTTAGGTACCCAAGTATTCCTACCCAAAAACAACAGACTAGTTCTTGCCTTCAAATAAAACAGAAATTGAGGTTTCGCCTCAATTTCATGAAGAGTGAAAAATGTATCCGCTTCTTATTTGTATTAATCAATGTTTTGTGCAGGGGCTTTGAAGGAACCTCTTCCGACTGATATGAAAGACCTCTTCACCCGTTTTGGTAATGACGTCATCGCCACCACAGCCTTTGGAGTCAGCTGCGATTCTATGAAGAACCCCGATAACGAATTCTACCGCTGGGGGAAGATCATGACTACCTTCACCAAACTACGGACTTTAATCTTCCTCGGTTATATACTCTATCCCAAACTAATGAAGGTGGGTTTAACATTTGCGACAGATTTTTAATAGTCGTTACAAAATTCAATTATTGATACACGAATTAAATTCTGAAATTTATTTTTTCTGTCAACGGTAAAAGTTAGAACTGTTGCTTATGATCCTCTCTCGTGATTTTGTTTGCAAGCATTGTGAGGGGTATGGTTTTGTGGTTGGGGGGGGGGAGGGAAGGACGGGAAAGGTGGATTACGGGATGTAGGACTCGTCGGAACGGGGAGAGGATAAAATAAGAGAAAATAAAAAGAAAAGGGAAGTAATGTGGGAAAATATTGGCTTAGCATTTGAAACCTCATTGAATAAATCAGAGAATTAGTAAGGAAAGAGATAAAATCACCTCCAAACCTCTGGTATGATCTTATTTAATATATGGCCATCTCGTGGTATTTAGCTCCTTCGTTTGCGGGTGCTGGACGGCCAAGCGTCAGACTTTTTCTACTCACTCGTGAACGCAACTATCAAGGAACGCCGACAGAAGGGCATCTTCCGTCCCGACATGCTGCAGCTGCTCATGCAGGCGCGCGAAGGACAGCTCAAGGCNNTATATATATATATATATATATATATATATATATTAGGGCAGCTCTGGATCATAACAAGCTGCTTTCCATAGTTCATGCAGCCGAGTACATAAATGTAGTAAGCCCAGAAATTTGAAAAAGCTGGCCGAAGTATTTTTACCCATATTATATTGCATATGTATGAGGCACCGTAAATACGAAAACTGGAACTCTTGATAAGAAAGCCTTGTTCAGAAGTTGTGATTAAGGCAAGAATTGACGTTGAAAACATTAGCAGTTTTGGAAAGGATTTAGCATTATCAAATCACATCAATGATTTTTTTTCTTTTTATATCCTGTTTTCGTCACCAGTTACTTTATCAGTTATACTATATATGATAAAATATTGAAAATTCAATTCCGTGAGAAATGCATTAGACAATAAGTTGAGAACTATTAGAAAAATAAAAAATATCAAAATTTGAAGGACACATACTTTTTAATGTACTTACAATTTAAAAGTGGAAAATTTAGAAAACAGAATACAATTCATATTGTTCAATATGTTAAGCGTGTGAACTTGTTTCAGATATGACAGACGAAGACATATGTGCTCAAGCTGGAATTTTCTTCTTCGCTGGGTTCGAGACTGTTTCAACAGCTGCTTGTCTGACCGCACACTTATTGTCCCACCATAAAGACGTGCAGGATCGCCTGTACGCAGAAATATCTCAAGTGATGAAGAAAGTTGGAGGAAAACCTGACTACGAATCTGTACAGGAAATGAAGTATGTCGATGCAGTTATCAATGGTGAGAGACCCAAAATTAATTTTGTATTTCATTTCAACAAATGCATTTCATAATCGAGGATTTATCTCGTAGATGAGTTATATTTTATCTTAGGAGACCATTGAAATGAAGGAAACGTTTCACTACCCTTCATTTTCTCAATATCTTACAATTGTCACGTTATTGTTCAGAAACTTCGAAATATCCCCTGAACTCCTTACGCTCGAAAAGTAATAAGTACTTCTCTGCGGATAAAATTGTCAGGCCGATGAGTTCTCATGTAAACCACTGCCCCTGCGATCGTCGGTTAATTGAACGTACTACTCTGATTCAACCTTCGGGTGTTGGAAGGATATAAATTTTCGTCATTCTGTATAGCCAATATTACGGCGAGAATTGCCCTGTCGAGAGAACAGTTGTCCTTTTGTTATTTCATATCCTCCAAAATTGGATTATATTAAAATCTCAGTAAAAAGTATTTTTTAGGGTTTTGGGGGCGCCCCTTTGAAACTATGTTTGTTTTTGTTTCATTTTCCAGTCTATTAACATTTATAATAGGAGTGAGCAAATGCGTTTTGCAAGGTTGCTTGTGCAAGGTCAATGTTAAAAGTATTGAGTCGCCTCAGTGAGATGATTTAGCCGAAGATGCTGACGTTGAAGAGCCTTGTGCCTGAAGGGTCTCGTGCCTGAAGGGTCGCGGGGTTGAATCCCGCCCGGAGCAGGGTGTTTGTGTGTCCCCGTAAACAGTTACCGTTACTCCCAACGTTACTTACAGTGGTCGCTATATGACCTTACTAGTTAAAAACGTCCTTAAATAAGTCAAGTAAATTTTAAAAAAGTAAAGTGCGGCGCCTAACTGGTTCTGATTGTGTCAGGTACAAGAACTATTCCTCAGACCCCCCCCCCACCAAAAAAAAAAAAGCAACACAAAGTGCCCTGGAAATCAGTCAATGAAAAGAAAACCTTTTTTATATGTACGAGTATATGTGTATGTTTTAATTTAATTAAACATTATATTGTTTTATATTTTGGGATTACCACGTTACATGGATTTGTGAGTGGAAGCATAGAATAGAAACTATTTCTTCAAAAAATGTGTGTGTTTTTACATTTTGAAATAATTTTTCCAATGTTTGGTCCGGTAACATTGACATATTCGACTTCCCCAACGAATAAAACTCGTTTCACTCATTACTATTCAGTATCTCATTTATGTCAAATTAAAATCGTCTGCACAAGGAGAAGCCTTACAGTTTAACACAAACCCCAGCCTTGCTTTTAATTTCCAGAATAATACCATATTGAAATATTTATCACGCAACAAGAATTTTGAATTTCGAGTGTTACATCTCATACCATTTCCACTTCTAACAGCAACAGTAAGTTAAAGTTAATATTTTGTTTCATTTTTTATTTACTCATTACTAATCAGCCGTCTTAAACAGCTTCTTCTTTGGGAGATCTTCTGATTTTTGCTATCGAAATAAGTGATAAATATCGTATTGTTTTATCCAATTACCATCCATAATTAATATTTAACTAAATATTTTCATATAAGACCAGATGTTTTCATTCAACTGTTGTTTTACCTAGGCCCTTTATGCAGGATGCTCTGTCGTGTCTGCTTCAGAGTCTCTGCGCTTGTACCCGCCAGCAGTGGCGACCGAGCGCGTGTGCCAGAAGGACACTGAGCTGCCCGCCGGCGCCAGATCTGGTCCAGTGACGGTGAGGAAGGGCCAGTCCGTGTCAATCCCTATCATGGGTCTGCACTACGATGCAGAATACTGGCCCGATCCTGAGAAGTTCGACCCCGATCGCTTCAGCGACGAGAACAAGCATAACATCAGGCCCTTCACCTACATACCCTTTGGCGCGGGGCCTCGCTTCTGTATCGGTAAGTAATGAAGTAATGAAGTAAGTAAGTAACGAAGTAAGTAAAGTAATGACCTCCCCCTTGTGAGTCGAAAGGAAACTATGTTGTGTATACGTGTCTTAAAACAACCATTTGAATGTTCTTCTGAATGAGAAAAGATCAGTAAGTATATGAAAAGATTGCAAATTGCAGTGTACTTTCGTTCGAATCGTTCTTTTCGAAATTACAAAGTAAAATGAAGTAGAAATAGTATTTTCCAGTAAATTTAACTTGTTTTCAGAATAACGTTACATTATTTTACTTTATGTAAAGAAACATGCCACTTTTTTAACAATGAAATTTCTCGCTCCAAATTATAACTGTTCTTCGTTGTATGATTATTTCAGTCTCTTCCATCTTTTACTCTTCTGTCACCCATTATGTCCTCTCTTTTAAAGGCAATAATACACAACGGATTTGTAGTAATTAAAATTCGCCTTTTAGGCTCCTAAACAGGCTTTAAAAATGTCGAGAATAAGGAAGAAGAGGCACTGTCATGTTTCACAATAAAATGAAAAATTGTAAATTTGTTCTATATTTTTTTAAACGAAAATGTACGAAACAAGTACTTAAATTTTAATACAAAACAAGATTTACATATTATGCATCACGTTTTATTTTTCCTATAGTTTGCATTACAATATATTGCCCAATAACGTTTCAAGAATTTCAATGAGACATTTGAGAGCAGTGGCTTCTCTTCAGTTAGTGATACCCGGGGCAAAACTAATGATATTATCCCGTCCATATATTAAATATAATGTAACGTTACTATATTTTTTTCTTTCAATTTTATCAATGTCACTTATTTCTTTCGTTGCCCTTCTATGCTCACAAATTCTCTCAATGCTAAAATATTATTATATTAATTTCATTTACCTTCAATACCATTTACTAATACTTAGACTACACAAAACTAACCTTCGGATCACACCAATTGCTTACATGTGTCGATGTCGGCAGATATAAAGAGACTCAATATTTCCATCTTCCCACAGAAATCATGGCTTTCAAAGTCTACTTCCCGCGTATCGCATCTCATGTATTAGGGGCCATATTTAGCGCCGTGACATCCAAACTTGGAATACTTTAGTTTGTTTATTTGTTGCCCTAAGAACGTCTATTCTTTGATTTCCAAGCTTGCTCACAATCGTATTACACCTATTTGATAATTTTTTTTTTCATTCAAATTAAACTTGGAGTTTCTGGCTTCTCGCAATAAACATATCGTTTACTAAATGGTATATACATTATTTACTAAAAATACAAGTACATTTGCACGTGAAATTTATTTATAATATATTAATAAACTGTATGTAATTGAGAATAATTGAAATATAATTTTTAGATATATCATTCAAATGGTATTGACACTATTAATTTATGGTATTCTTGAATAATGACTTTAAAAGATACAAATACGAGTTCCTAATGTGTTAGTTTGGAATTGCAGAATGTTAATTATTTTAGAAGATTGCTTTTTCATATTATTTGATTTTCTAAGAGTGTTTTAAATTAATTAAGCTTTTAATTTGTCTTCTTTTATTTTGTTACTATTTTATTTTATTGGTTTATGATTAGATGAATACGGGTATGTGTATGTAAGATGGCGTTGCATTGAACGGTTGTGCGTTATACCTCTTGTGAGATTCTCCATTATTTGTTGATTTCATCTCTCTTGAGTGTTCCTGAACTACTGAAGTAAGTTTTATGTGACTTCCGAGGGCTAAGTGATTGAGCCTACAGTAAATATTTCTAATTCTGCTTTTAATTTACGTATCTTTCAGCTCTTGTGTACTGTGATGCAATGCAACCAAACTTATCACATTGCGTAGAAACGTAGCCGATGACCAGAGTGAGTAATGCTCTCTGATCTTATATGAATGTGACTGTATAGCTGGATTGCTTGCAACATTTATAATTATTTATTCATGACCACTTTGGTATGTTTAACCTCTAACTGGCCATGTGTTTACATAGTGTTTACATACCAAGCGGTGTTGCCAGCTCAGAGGAAAAGCTATCTTGCATTGCTCATACACGCCGCGACATGTCAGGCTGGACAGAATCTGAATTTAAAAACATCAAGTTCAAACTTTGAAGAAGACTATTCAATTCCATCTCCAATTCCTCACTCACTGAGTTTCACATTAAATAATTAGGAACTTCACTTTGTACACCCATCGCTAATGCGAATGTTTTACTAACAACTGCAAAACATGAAAAAATCACCAACAACACCAATTGCAATCAAATCATGACGTTACCCTACATCTTCCCAGTGCCGTGCCTGCAAGGTTATCCTACGAACTAAGACGTGGAAAACATGATCCGGCTGCTTCGGTACCTTCCATCCGCCGTGCCTAAACATGCGGGACGCTAGCCCGACGGCACGTTTTATCTTTGCTGTGGGGATTTGTCAAACAGGCAGTTATCCCCCTCCCCCTGCTGATAATGCGTGTGTAATCGGGTCCATGCCTGGTGAATCGCATCGCAACCTAATCGAGCTAATGCATGAAGTGTTCTAGCAGATGGATGGTTGATAAATGATCCCGGGTGCGTCAACGGCTAAGGCCATTAGTCCAGTAAGTGTAGTGCATATTTTATCCGGGAAGTGGCGGTGATCTTCCCCGCATGATGGTGAGATTCGTTCCCATCGGCTAGTGGGATTTTCGCCAACCGTGTATCTCCCACCAGCGGGGCACAGCTCCAGCCGGGACAAGCTCCAAGTGGCTCGACATGTGTGGTAGTATACTGCATGTACATGTAATTGTGTGTAAGTAAGGGGTGATGATAGGTGAACTATGGGGGAGAAAAATCGCGCGCGGTCCGTGGCCCGTTTGTTAGGGTACTGCTCTGGCATTCGCCTCGTGTTGATCGGAGATAGCACGGAAAACTACTGATCAGTTCAGCCGGCTGCTAGAATTCTCCTCTAGACAGCGATAGAATTTGACCTAGCTATTATTGAAAATCCTGTCACCTTCGGGTCGCAGATGGCGGAAATGCGTTATCTGCCATTTAATGCTATTAACAATAAATTATATTTAATGTATATCAAGTTACGTACGCTCGAACAACCACAAGTAATTTTCTCTTTCTGAACCATAAAAGCAACAACTTCTGAATGAGCTTCAGAAAGCAGTAGAGGCTGCCAACCAATTTATTCTTTTTAATGAGAAACCCGATCCAGTCGTTGATATGGTCAAGATAAATATCATGCCGCAAGGTGAGAAGGGATGCTCTGCTACTATTTTCATGCATCGTCTGAGAAAACCTGCTGCCTCAACAAATCAAGTAACTCACCATCGGGCCACTTAACTCAAGTTTAATTCCAGGCAAGAAGCACAATCTGTTCTTCGCGAGAACAGATCAGGACAATCTGTCGGACGGATCTATCGTGAGAAATGTCAGAATTCCCTCCGTATGAAGTCATTATCTGCCTGATCTACATAGCAAATTGAACGAATGTTTGGTGAACAGTGAAACTATTATCAGGCAGATATATTAATGTCATCCCTATCAATGGATCGTACAATTTTCCAAAAAAGTTTACCACTCTCAACTCGCATCTTTACCAGTTTCTATTATCGCATGTCAAATTATCACAAAAACAACCAAACTATTATCTTGGGTGCTATTTATCTACCGCCGATCTCATCTCTTGTCGATTACGATTATTTTTGATATAGAATTCTTAATTTTCGTTCGTCTCATGATTACAAGTCCTACCTTTTTGTTGTGTTCAACGTACCTTACATTTCTTGGAGTTGAGTTGTTAAGTTGTGTGGATTAACATTTACTTACTCAGAAATGGACACTAACACGACTTTTGAAGCTGCGAATCTACTATATGAAGAGCTGGGCTATGTGAACCTCTATCAAAATAATACTACAGTAAACTACTTGGGCTAAAGTCTTGATCTTTTGTTCTCCTCATCCTATGACATTGAATTTCCTAGCTTCAATTTCTCGATTAACCCTATCGATAGTTTTCATCCTCCCTTTTGTTTCGAGTCACAAGATGTCCAGAATTAAATCTAACTTTTATATTCCTGAACATCGTTGAAGTATACAAAGAGATTGAAATGTTCTAGTATGAACCTTAGTAATTTGAATGTTGGTATCATTCACACCGATTCTCTCTCAGCGTCCGCTGATTTGCTTGCAAAATACTTTAAATTTGTATATACATCCCAATGAATCTTGATTCCATTGATCCAATAGATTAAATTAATATCAAATCACCACATATTGACCATATGTATTTTCAATTGAAACTGCTTTCAGGCAATTGAAAGCTAATTATTATATTTCAGCACTTCAGTTTATATATTTTATAATTATGTAATAACTTTCATGTTTTTGTGTCTTATTGGTATTTTGTTTGCTTTTTGTGGTTTTGTATTTAATGACATATATTTTGTAACTTTTTCCTTCTATAATAGTAAGCCTTCATGTACCAACTCTTTTGTATAAGGGTTACCACTCGTTTTTTAAAAATAAATCAATTACAGACTACTTTTGTAATTCTCCTTTGTATGAAAGAAGGTTTTTTTTAACGAAAAAGGCTAAAACTCGTTTTAATAACATTTTTTACTTAATATAAAGAGTACATGACTTAATTCATTTCTCCAGGATTCACAGTGAAAATTTGCTGTAATATTATACACAAAGAATAAAATTTACCTGTGCAATGAAGGGCCGGAGACACACGAGCGTCGCAATTGCGTAGGGGACACTAAAACACACGAAACTCGCAATCGCGTATGTGACTAAAATACAGTACCGTCGCATGAACCATAGACTAAGGAGGTACACATCATTACTCTATGCATGAACCTCACATTCGCGCACTAAAACACACAAGCCACTCGATCGCTCATGTGGCACTAAAACACAAACCTGGCGATCGTTTATTTGGCACTAAAA